AATTAACCAACTTTAGGTTCTTCAACAACAATATCATTATCATCAACAAATAACATAACACGGGATTCATCATGTTCAGTTGTTGAAGATGTACCTTTTTTCATAATTTTAATATTTGAATAACCTAAGAAATATTTGAAAATTTCATTATAATTATTGAAATTTCTCATACCTTTAGCTTTAATTCTTTCTTCAGCTTCTTGACGTGTTTTACCTTTTAAATCTGGCCATGATGTGGCTAATACTTTTGCATCACTCTAAAAAAAAGAAAATATTCTTTACATTAAATTGAAAAATTTAATAAAAACAATCAACTTTTTGTGCTGAATCTTGATAACCACCAGCTGTAGATGTTATTTCACTTTTTTGAAGAGTAGCATCTTGTTCTTTATCAAATTTTTTTGTTTTACTATCAATATTTTTCTCTTTTTTTTCATCATCATCACTACCTTTGGAATGATCAGCCTAAAACAATAAAATTATATATAATTTTTCTTTTCCAATGAATTAACATACATCATCTTTTGGTGTTTCTTCATTTTCATTACCACGGATAGCTTCTACTACAGTATGTGCTGCTTGTTGAACGTAGTCACCTGCTTGAGTGAGAGCATTCTTAATTGATTCCATAGTTTCTGAAATATCTAAAATCATACTTGAGTTAGAATCATTTCATAAAAGGAAAAAAGAGCGAGAAAAAAAAATCTTATTATTATTATTATTATAATATATATATATATATATATCTACAGGAATACATTAATGAACAATGAAAGACACACACACACACACTACAAAGATGATGTATTCTGTTTTCTGACGATTGGTAACCCTGAAAGTAAAAGAGAAGTTGAATCTGACGCATAGATATTTTTGTATTTTATTGGTATCGATAAGCACTCATCATTGGATGTGTATGCCATGTCCATTTCGCTTTTTGAGCAAGTATATCATTACGAAGATTTTGAGCAAAACAAATACCGAGTATCTTTTTTTGTAAATAAAATAATTAAATTAAAATAAAATTTTGTTTGAATAGAAATTTATTTACTTGTAATACAGCAAAAATACAACCAACTATTGCGACTGAAAGTATATGTCGTTCAAACCATTGAGATGCTTTTGGAAGACAACCTTCTGTATAGATCGCATGTGTAACCTAGAATAAATGTCAGTATAAAGTATTTTTTTGATCAACACTATTAACGCCTAAACTTACAGCTGATGGTTCTAAAGTTCCATATCCACATTGTTTATTATTCTAAACAAAAATCAATTAAATTCGACATATTTTTTCTATGAAAAATTATCTTTTTACATGAAAATATTCTAAACGACAACAACTAGCCGGTACACCACATGCTTCAACACTTCCAACGATTTTTGATGAACAATTGAAATAAACATTACTTTCCCAATTTCGATAATTATTAACACCACAACAATGAAGCCATTGTCGTTGTATCCAATCAATCATATTTTGTAAATCGGGATCATCTCGATAACTTTGAACCATAATCATTAATTGTTTTTCACTTTCATTTTTAACCTAAATGAAATTTTGGCTTATTATCGAAGAAAAGTTTATTTAATTAAATATACCTTTTCTCGGTAGATAAAAACTAATGTACCAAATGCAAGTTGAATAAAAAAGATAACGGCCAATGCGAAACTGAACTATAATAAATAAAAAGATATGTTGTTTTTTTGATTTGTCTAAGAAGTATATATTTAAGACGTACAAAAAGTAATAAACAAGTATTTTCTCGTAATGATCCAACACATCCGGCAAAACCAATACAGAACATAAAAATTCCAACAAGTACAAAAAGTAATGCTGGATCAAAAAATAATGTACCACCCATTGTTAAACGACCGAAATTATCAAATGTATCTTTTTCAATCCAGGCATATATACCAATAGCAGCGATCATAAAACCAAGAATCTTAAATAAAATATATATAGTGAAATATACTATTACATATATGTAATTATATTACCCAAAAAAGAATATTAAAACCAAACATAAGGTATCTAATGAATTAAAAAAAACAATAGTAATTGAAAGAATAACTGGGATGTGTTTATTTTTATACTTAATACATCGACTGATTTCTGTATCATTTCGTCGTATTTTACGGACAATTTTTTGAGTACGAGGAGCCATAGAAAATAATATATCTGAATTTTTTGATTAACCGTATTGATGATTGAATATAAAATGATGAAAGTTGTTATTGTGTTTCATCTATAATGTTATATTTCACGTGAATCTATTCCAAGGAAAACTATTTATTGTATCAAATGATTCTTTTTACTTGGTAAAATAATCTTCTTCCAATGATCTGTTCGAATGTGAACAATACGATAGATGTCCTCAGATAATCGATTGAACAAGGACATCAGAATGATAAAAATTTTCTAGAAAGTAACTATACATTATATTTCTAAGATTAACGATGGAACTATCAACGAATAATAATTAATTAATAAAAATCTACTTCAGATTCGGCATACCCACCGCCCAATTACCTTTGATCAAGTTTTATAGAAAATAATCCCTTTTATTTTCACATTATTCTGTGATTAATCAAACACAGCGGCTGGCGATCCGGCGACTGTTACCACTTGATGTTATACTATCTCGAATATGCTTCAAAAACGATTTTTTCATCATGACTGTCGCCACTGCAGAGAATCGAATAAAGAAAAAGGCTATAGTAAAGAAATAATAAACTTTATATATTATCTAACAACTGTGTTAAATGAATTTTATTGTTATTCAATCTTCTTTTGATAATCGAGTAAAGAAATAAGACTCGATATATTCATTACTCTTATGATCATCATACGAATGTGCAGTATATACTTGTAAAGATTGATAAATTCCAACAATCATTAAAAAACCAAAGCTGTATTTTCGGATATATTTCTCTACTACAAATTTTTCCAGTAACCTATCTATTCTTCTTTATTTTTGAATTCGATATGTTTTATGTGTTTATTGCAAAAAGCATCTAACGGAATTTCCAATACGTAATTAATATTATTTATTCACTTAAAAAAATAGTATTGAAAAATTATATAAAGTAAAATCTTCTTAGTACTTTCTGTTAAAAAACTATTCAGGTTGAGATTAATCATTGGTCATATTTACTATATGAAACATGTTATAGTACCCAGAGCGTTGACGTCATTGTATTCTACAATATTTACTAGAATGAGTGGATTCTATATAAAGACAATAACACGAAATTCTACCTACAAAAACAAATATGACATAAATAGAAAAAACGTAGTTTGTATCGTAAAATACTATCTATGGTAATTGATAACTATTCTTACAACCAAAATCGTATATATATATTTCAAATATTGATTTCATGTAGATAAATCTTAGCAAATCACTTTCAATTCATTATAATTTTGTACGAGAGTTTCATATGAAATCAGATTAATAAATGACTGTCAAATATAATATCAACACGTAAAGCTCGTCGGGAGACTCGCTCAGTTCATTCTCGTAGGAACGGTGTATCTTCACTACTAGCAAACTATTTCTTCTTACTAGACTCTTCTCTGCGAGAAAGTGAATAGATCAATCCAAAGCCGCTCAAATTAATCTTATACAGAAATTTATCTTGCACATTGTATCTATTAGTCCTTCTACAATTTTACTATAGATACTCTTCTATTTGTATTAAAACGGCTATTCATCATGATTTAAATGATGGAGTAACTCAAAATCTTTAATAACTTCACTCATGATCAAATCGAGACAATGCTAAATTCATCGTTTTGTTCTTTTTACCTAATGGAAAAAAGAATTTCCGTATATGATTCATTCTTTTTTTTATTTTTATATTTTCGAGATTGTTATTTGTTACATACAAAAATAAAAAAACAAGAAAAGTACACAATCATAAATTAACAGTTTAAATATGCTCGATACTTTTTTTATCGTATGAATAAATTTTTAAACGGATGTTTATGTCATAATTACAACAAAAGATAAGAAATGTAATAACATTAGTTTTGATAAAAAAATCGTGACGTCTGTTTCCTCCGGAATAGCGAAAGTGCAACTGCAAATTCTTTCATAATTTCAATATAATTTATCAACTTAAATCGAGTAGAACTTAAGACAACAAAAAAAATGCATTTCTCTGCTTATCTATTCATAAACTATCTGATTTAGCCGATATCTGCCACTTTTTCCAGCTCATAAACTAGTAAAATAATCTGATTAAATACAATGATCAGGTTTCTAAAATATTAACTCAAAATTATAATATATACAGATACAACTAGATACGTGCTAGTATAAAGTTCATCAATGCTCATATTGATTTTAAAAAGATTAGTAAATTCTAAAATTACAACTGTAAAATGATATCATTATATGAATCATAACAGAGCATATATTTATTTCTATTGCCAAAAATTATTTGTATACGTTAAAAGTATGAATAATGATTAGAACTGATTAACCTCTTGGAGATGTATATTTACGCTCGGCATTGAATGAATGATAGTGCAAGTCATGAATATATCAATATAAATATAACCCATCTATACAGTTCTACTTTTATTTTTTCTCTCAAACTAATCCCATTATAGGAAGTAAAGTAAGAGCTAATGAATTTTGATACAAAAAAATCTTTGTTTCTGTATGATGGCTATTTAATTCTTACACTCTTCATTTAAAATGAGTATAAGAATTTATCGATCATAAAAAAACATAAACTACTATGACGTTGAATTAAATTCATGACGTTATGTCATGTATTTGACACGATAGTTCTGACGACTTGACTATGCCAACAGAAAAACAAAGAGAAAAATGTTGAGGCGTAAACTTTAGTATTTCCTTGATAAACATATGGTTGTGCACCTACCTTAGGAAAACCCAGATAAGCCCACACATATATATCCTTATATATATGCATTGAATTTAATAACTTATTATTGAAAAGTATATCGGTAAGTATTAATAATATATAGTTTTATAACAATTTAAAATATATAAATACTTACATCATATAGATAATCATATCAGGAGTTTTTTTCCTATATATTACTTATTTTATTTAGTCTAAACTTCGAACATTTATCTATTGACTTACTCGATCGTATATATTTATAAATAACATTCTCGATACTTTTTTTTCGAAAGATTTTTGAAAAAAATGAAACTTTTTTGTTTTGTTCGAGAAATCAGAGCATAATAGTTAATCCTAGAAGACTAAGATATTCGATCACAGTCATTAGAGAGTCTTCTATCATTATATTTTTTACTTAAAATAAAACTGATACATTCTTATTTCTATAATTCTCTATTATACTTATTAGAAATATAAAAATATTCGATGAATAGTTAATATATGTTGAATACATAATTCATATATCTTTGACTTGATTGATGTATTTTTTTATTAGATTTATTCTGAATAGCTAAATCAATTTTTTATCTCATTTATTTTGTCCCATGATCATCTTTCTATATAGTCATTTTGATTTTATACGATATAAAATAAATTCGTCATTAATATAAAAGTGTGTGAGTGATTTCTCTTTTGTTTACTCATAAGATTACCAGTTTCCAAGTGCGTTAGTCGCATTAATCTCTACACATATTTCATCATGACAAAAAAAACATTTTTTTGCTTCTGTACACTAGTAGAGACAATTGCATTAGCAGATTTTTACTTTAAAATGTAAGATGTATTAGAATAATGAATCATTAACTAAACAATGAGATTCAGTGAAAAATACATACGTAAAAGTTTTTTTTTAGTTTGATTATTCTTTGTTTATGACATAGATTTTGAAATTTTAGACCATACTTTTAAACAAAAAACAACATGAAGACCACTGCTTTTGTATTAGCTATTATTCTTTCATCGTTTTTCGTAACTATCATCCATGCTAATGAAGGAAAAAAAGTAAATAATAAAATTTAAAAAAATTTTTTTTAAATTCTGTTTTATTATTTAGTACTCAACATATGTATCCCAAGATCAACTTCTTGATTCATTAATAGAAATCAAATGGCGTGAATTATTACTAAGTAAATATAAAGAATCAATAGCACGATCACAAAAAAATAAAATCAATCGACCGAAACAAGAAAGTGTTGAAGAGAGTCATGAACGGACATGTAAAAATCTTTTTAATAATTACATTAACATATAAAGAAATGTTTTGTTCTTCCCTTCTATTTAGTTGTTCGTCGTAAATTGGTTGGCATCAGTGATAATCCATTTTAAATTACAACCATCCTGAATTCTATAGATGAAACGAATATTCATTTATTTTCTATCTTTCTTGTTCTTGTTGTTGTTGTTCTTCATCAATTAGACCATCTAATAATTGTTGTATTCCTATTTGATTAACATCAAAAATGACCCTATCTATTATAAATGATTAAAATCATTTTTTTTCTGTTTTATATTGTCGTTTTCATTCGTATCGATTGTAAAAAAAAGTGATTCTTAATATTGCTTAGAAATATCATTGTACACTGAGCACTACAAAGTAACAATTGAATAAAAATATATAATTAATAAAACTTTTAAATAAATTTTCTCAAAGCAAAAACTTTAATATAAAAATATATCTAATAGACTATCTTATTAAATCAATATAAATCGTAGTTATATATAATTTATGTTAATCATATACTTTAATATCAAATTATCCGATCAATATAAAAATCTGAATAATCTTATAACCTTGAAGTTTTATCCTGGATTTTATTTCATAACAAATTAAGAATTAATAATATAACAAATATAAAGTGGGAAGCAGATTGAGTATACTGTTGATTAATAATATTTATATTTAATATGTTGTTTTCTGTTTGTTGATAAATATAAAGAGAGAGAGAGAGAGAGAAAAAACAAATCCTAACACACTGAAACTAGAACTTTTGTGAGTTAAGAAATAGATTTGAATTATTGAAAGAATAATTTAATAAATATTTTAGGATTACAAAAAAAATCAAGATTAGTTCGTTTACCTTGATTTTGTTTAGATGTGTATGAATGTATTCTATTAAAACCGATTAGGAGTTTCTGGACTATGTTTATTTTAGAAAATAAAACATATGACTTGATATTTTCTTCGTCTGTTTTGTAGAGTCAGTAATATTAATGAAAAAATTACTGATTTATTTGATAGTCATGGTTATGAATAGATCGTTTCATGTGATAACGCAGAGAAGAAATAATTATTTTTTAATAGATAAATATCTTTTTAATAAATAGGGCAAATCAATTTCACGCTAGAAAAAAAATTGTTTTTCAGATTTCTAGCGACATAACTGCATCTGAAATATTTTTTTTTGTCTTTTGACTTAAATGCAATATAGCTTCGATACGTATTTCATATAGTAAATATCCTTCATTCGAAGGCCTATCTGACTAAATACATCGCATTATTCAAGTGACAGAAATTATTCGTTGTGGATTGCTCTCGACTTATTGACTGTTACAATTCAATATGGAACGAGCATCGATATTTCATATACGTGAAGAATTACAATTATTCGAATTTATGTCTTTTTTTATAAATAATCTGAAAAATACTTGAATTGTATTTCATATATTATTCAGGTATTCGACAAATTGAGTAAAATGTCTTCTCATTGAAAAAATTATTCAAGATCCAATGATATCAATTAAAAGAAAATGTCGTTCGAATATTTTTATGAAATGTGAATAACAAATCGATGGATCCTTTTTATTTCAAATACTATTTATCATTCAATTATGAATTCACATCGAAAAATATATCAATTTTACGATCTGTTTGTATAAAATTTTATCTATTCTTATACATTGAATCTTTTTTTATCTTAGATATTAAGACAATATAATTTTTCATGTTAACAATGACTCATATATATATATATATAGATTTAGGTTATTTAGTATTTGTTCAAGTTTTTTATTGGATCATAATAACTACAGTTAATAAATGACGTCTTATAGATATGTTGTGAAATGCATTAGTCATTATGACGTATTCCAGTTATCAATAACTTTACAAAGAAAAGAAATACACCTCTTTAAATATGTATTATTAGATATTCGAAAGATATAACAATGTAACTGATGTTATTTAAACTCGAATAAATCTAAATAGTTGAAATTACTTGTACGAAATAATGATTAAATGAGGTAATTAGACGTTAATAGCGGGGGCTGGATATAAAAAAAACATATATATACTATCACGTTAGGCAGGAATAATATTAAGGTAAAAAGAGAAAAAAAAACATCGATTAGTCGGATATGCATCAATAGTTGTCATATCGCTATTCAAAAGAAAAACGAACAGTTTTCCTTTTATACGATTACTAGCACATACAATTTTGCAAACATAGGTAAATATTTTAATGATTAAACAAAATGATTGATTAAAGTTTTTTTTTCATTTGATTAGGATGAAAGAAGCATATATAATTTTTGCTGTCATCATGGCAGTATTATTGCTGAATATTTCTGATGCTTACAAACAAAAAACTGTAATATAAGAAAATAAATATGAAATCTATATTATTATCTCATTTTTTTAGTATTCCAATGAAATCTTCCGAGCACGTCTGTTGGATTTATTATCTGAAGCAAAACAACGTGGATTATTAAACGAAAATTCAGAAGAATCACAGGAAGAAATACAAAAACGTAAAACAAATTATTTCGCAGATGATGATAGTAATGAACGATCACGTAAGAATTATTTGCATAGTGACAACATCTAAAAAATAATGTTTGATTTATATTTAGATGTTCGCCGTAAAATCGTTGGTTTATCTGATGATCCAATTTAAAACTTTCTTACTTCCTCTCGACTTTCAATTGGTTTTATATTAAATATAACAAAAATACTAACAATATTCGTTAAAAAACTTATCTATTTATTTTTTTCTGTTAATTATATTTCTTAACAAGTAACTCATACATGCATTTAGTATCCAATCTTCTATTCAGTTGTTTGTTATAAGCAATATTTTATCTAGTCTTAGATTTAACATTTGAATAAAGAGAAATATATTTTGGTATAATAAAGAATCTAACAAAACTACATGATGTTTTCATAGTATTAAAGATTTCAAAACGAAAAAAATTGTTTTTTTTGAACTTGATATCAGGTAGAAGTGAGAATGGGGAAATTTTCTTTTTAAATTTATCCTAAGAGTGATAATTCGATTGAAGTCTAACTCTTCTACGGTGCTATTGTTTGAAATTAAAAACTGAAACACGAGTTAACAATCTAAGATGATTCATTCATATACACTAAATACAAAAACAAAATTTTAAGACATTCTATAGAGATATTTTCAGAGGTTAATCGTAGATTTATGAGAAAGCAGATATTTTTCAACACTTTCGTATCTTCTACGACAATCAAATAAGGAGATCTACAAACATCAGAGTAGATATAGAGATGCGTCAAAATGAACTAAGTCAAATATCACAAGTACATTAACCTGGTCATAGTAGCTTTTGATTTATTTCGTTTTTAATATTTAATGGCCTTCTCTATTTTCCGTATGTAATAAAATGTGACTAGGCCAAAGATGGTGATGCTCTATAAGAAACAGAAATAATGACTCAGTTAATATACAGGTAATATCTACAGTATGTTGATTTTTGTTATGTCACTATTACGTATCTGCAATCTTTTTCCTGATTGGATGTTTACTTATACGCAGTAGCTATCTTGTGCTGATACCGATTGAATTGGATATATCATTCATTAGATCGAAAAATAAAAGTGTCGAAAACAAAAATGTGTGTAGGCATGGATGTTTGAGTATACGTAAGAATAAAGGAAGGTTCGTCGTTGTAACACTTATCATCATCAACAGTCATACATGCAATTTTTATTTTCGACCAACGTATAAAGAGAATCATCCTCTTTTAGAAGGCGTAGACAATAGTATTGGATAATCTCCTTAAATATAAAAATCCCGAAGAAGACTATTGAATCCCTATAAATTAACCTTTAATTACTATATGAACTTTCTCTTGTTTATTATTGAATTTATCAAATTACAATTACACGGAGAGAAGAAAAAAAAA